TAACAAGAAGTGAAATGACAAGGATAATGGAAGCTAACTACTAATAATGCTACCAAATGAAAACACATAAGAAGCTACCAAACAATACTACATCATGGAAGCAATCAAGTGATAAAGGAAATGAAAATAAGCTAAATCCACCATTCTCACCATGGAAGGGATGAAATGGTGGTTTTCCTTCACCAATGGATATGGAAAATCACATGATGACTAAGGAAGCAAAACAGAAAAGATAGCAACCATACTCATCATGGAAAATGGATGAGATGATAGACTTCTTTGATCATCAAAGATATGGAAGATCAATGATGATTATAGAAACAAATATGTAATGGAAACTAAACAAGGAGTAAATCAAAGAAAGGAGTAAGAATCTACATAATCTTTCATGAAAAGGAGCAAATAGATGCTCCAATTTGTGTTAAAAGTGGATGAGAGAGTAGATTGCAAAGTCGTTTCTAGGTGGAAACCATGCTTGGTTTCCAAGAAAATAGAGAAAAACAAGAGAAAGTAAGAGAAAATGAAAGAAAATAAGATTGAAATACACTCTAATCACCAATTTAAACCCATGGATCACCTAATTAATCCACAAGACAATCCTAAAAGATCATTAGAATGTAAGCAATAATTCAATTATGAAAATTAAACTTGTATGGATGATGAGAAATTAGTGAGAAAGTGATAAAAAATTGAAGAAAATGAAAGTAAACAAAACAATTATCAAAACAAGTTATAGGGTAGGACTGGAACCCTCTATACAAGTCCAAAACTAAACTAAATTACTAAAGAAAATTAGAAGTGGAGTGTTTGGGAGGTAAGAAAATAAGAGAGAAAATGAGAGAAAGTGAAAATTCAAGTAATCCAATAAATCCTATGAAGAGGTGGCTAATCCCCTCCACTATCCACAAGGCTCAATTACATAATAATCAATACATAACCTCATAGTTATAATGTTTGGCAAGAGAGAAAAGAAAAGAAAATGGGAGAGAAAGTGATAAGAAAGTTGGTGGATTTACTTCAATTGAAAAAGATAAGCCTCTTGATTAGCAATCATTTCCTCCAAGCACCCTCAAATCTTCTGAGCTTGATCTTCAATCTCCAGCAACTTGAGCTTCAATCCATGGTCTTCAATGGTGTATGTATAGGTGTATGTATATGTATAGAGAAAAGATTTGAAGAATTGCACGCTTAGAGAATTTTGGGTGTCTCTAGGCTTAAAAAAAATTCTTCTCTCCTTTACCCTCTTAAAAGAGAGGCGTTTATAGACCTTGAGGTTGCTTGGTTCGTAATTCATGCTAGAATTATGGAGGTGGCACCTCGAAATGCATGGGGGGACCATCTCTCCAAAACTACTCTATTTCTTGACAAACTTGTCTGTCTAGCCAAAAGATATCTTGCCATCTATTTTATGACCGGCCAGCCAAAATATGGCCGGCCAAGCATAAAATTTGTATGATTGGGCTTCTTTTTGTACGCCTGAGGCAATTTTGCAGGGAAAACAAGGTTTTTTTAGAGGATTTTCCTCCTTTCCACTCATTCCTACTTTGTCTTTACTCGCTCACCGAAAATCACAACATTTTGATTTTGAAAGATGAGCTCAAACATTATAAAAATGATTGGATTTATGCATGGCTATTCTGGGAAATGCTTTTTTAAAGGTCTGAAAACATTTGGCCAAAACATGTGAAAAGTTGGGATGAATTTTTGGGTAAAGCTCTTTGTTGAAGGGATCGAAGGATTTGTGTGTTCTGGTCTTTCATTATTATGTGCTTAAAGAAAAGGAGCCCAAGTCTTAGGATTGGTCAAAATACGGTATCTACAGTAATTCCTCAACTTATCTACAACAGCTCATTCACACTTTTGGCTAAGAATTTGCAATCAAGCATCAGGGTGCCCTACATTATTTTTGGGTGTTGAATCTCATCACCAAACTCATGGTTTATTACTCTCTTAAATAAAATATATTCTGGATTTATTAATCAAGTCTGGTATGCAACAATCCAAGCCTATTCAGACACCAATCTTCGCCGCTTCCAAGCTTACTTCTGCTTGTAGAAATCCTATGGTTGGTCCTACACATTATCACATGGTGGTTAGGTTTCTTCAATACCTTACATTGACACAATCGGATATCTCATTTTTTGTCAATAAGGTATGTCAATTTATGCACTCACCAACTAAAGAACATTGGCAAGCAGTGAAGTGAATCCTTCACTATCTTAAACACACCTCTAATTTTGGACTTTTTATTAAATCCTCATCTCCCACTCATCTACAAGCATTTTGTAATGCTGATTGGGTGGGTTATGTTGATGACCGAAAATCTACAGGTGGTTAAGCAATTTTTCTTTGTGACAACTTAGTTTCTTGGTCCTTTCAAAAGTAATAAACGGTGGCTCACCCTTCTACTAAATCTTAATACAAGGCATTGGCTAATACTTCCGTTGAAACTTCATGGCTTCAATCCTTACTTTCTGAACTGGGAGTTTTATTATCAGCCCCACCAATTATGTGGTGAGATAATCTTGAAACTACCTATTTATCTTCTAACCTAATTTTTCATGCTCATACTAAGCATGTTGAGATCAATTTTCACTTTGTCATTGAAAAGGTAGCTCACAAGGATCTTCAAATTCAGTTCATATCTACTAAGGACCAAGTTGCGGATATCTTCACCAAAGGCCTACCATCGCAGTCTTTCCGATTCTTCCCTGACAAGCTGCAAATTCAGTAATTTCAGCTTGAGGGGGGGTCGTTGATAAGATTGTTGAATATCCAAACATTCAAGATTGTAGTTAAGATTAGCTCCTGCTCTATCACTTAGTTTCTTGTATATATCAATTGTATCTATTATTATGTCATCCTTATCATATCAGCAATAGTTTATACGTATACCATCGCCATGTAATACGTGAGTGTATGAAGAAATCATTATCATTGAATAATATTATTTGTTAAATCCAATAATCTGTTTAGTTTTGATATCCCTAATGTCTTCATGTCGAAACCCTTTTTTCGAACAGACAAATCTGCTAGAAGTGATCTTCCTTATTTATTTATTTTTTTCCATGTGTTAGAGTATTCAATTCAAACACTGAAACCAGTAATCCTTCCGAACTCATTGTAAAATTTTTTGCATCATCCAATGAATCAAACTCCAAACCTATTCGGGGTTTCTAATCTGACATATTGAGGCTTGGGTTGGCATCCCTACTTCAATTTTCAACAACAAAATAAATTATATTATCAAATTGATTGGAAAAATCATAAATTAATCCCAAAAGTATCAAAAGTTATTGTATATAGGTTATATTCACAAGAGTTATCTAAACCACGTGAACATCTAGAAGAAAAAAAAAAGAAAAAAAGAAGTCCAATAGATATACAATATATATATATGTATAAACATATATATTCTTGTGAAACTAGCTACCAAGAGAGAGAACACAGATCACCTAGTTGATCCTGACAAATCTCACATCCATAGAGGTTCAAAACCCACGTTAAATCATTGTGTCTCTTTGTATTGATTGTTGGATTGTTTGATTGGGATTGTTATATTCTGCTTTAAATTGATACATAATCACAAATCAACATCTAGGGGATTTCTAGATTTTTCAATATATATTCCTGTGAAACTAGCTACCAAGAGAGAGAACACAGATCACCTAGTTGATCCTGACAAATCTCACATCCATAGAGGTTCAAAACCTTCTGTAAAAACTGATTCATCCATTCGTTTTTTGCAAATGAAACTTTTGGTGAGGAGGAGAGAAAATTTCAGGAAAAAAAATCACTTCGATTTTCAGATTTCGAGTGTGAAGATGAAAGATGAAAAGTCACCAAGAAGATAGTGATGAAATTTTTTCCAACGCTCAACGTTAGTGATCCTCCCTTAAACCCAAACGATGTCATTTTGGGTTAGAGTCAGTAATATACTTGTATGGCCGGAGCTCAACCATTAATTACCATATTTGTTGATGTGTCACGATCTTCTAAACTGGACTGTTTCGTCCAGTTTTTCTCTCAACATGAGAGAAGCCACTCCCGATTAATTTATACACGTTAGATCAATAATATTTATAGTCCCAACAAGGAAGGGAAATAGTTTTCAATTCTTGCTGGATCAATTTTATCCAAAATAATAAACGATGTTTGACTTTAGAGACTCAAAATTTTCAAATCTCCCTTTCAAACATTAGTTCACAGAATTTAAAGAAATTTTATTCTATAAATAAAAATACGGTTTAACATTCTCTTCATGTGTCTACATAAAAATTTCTCATAAGTAAACACATTTGACGAAAGAGTTTCTAGTCAAAATTTTAATATCTATTCATTCATGCATTCATTCATATTATAAAGGAACAACATACTTGTTATAAATAAAATTAGTACATATTTAATTTAAATTCTAATGCAATTCAGATTGGAATATAGATCATTTGTCTCCTTCCATGTACCATTCCTATGTCTCCTTGAATCTTATTAGTTCATAAGATTACTTTTGCTGGTATGAACAATCCTATGAAGGTCTTGTTTGTTTGGGGGATTAGAAGGTAGGATATGACTCCATGTCCAATATATGAAATAATTTGGTGTATGATTCAAAAAATATAAGACGGACTAATAGTCCAACTGGACTATCAATCCCATATTTATAGGATTATTGTGTCCAATGAGAGGTGTGGGATACAAAAATGTGGGATAAATCCTCCTCCGGATTAGAGGGTAAAAAGACATTTATGCCCTCCCTTTTTTTTGTTTAAATTTTATTTTCAATCAATAGGAGAGTAATACAAATTTGAGAAATATTACATCAAATAGACCACTATCCTAAAATAACTAGAAAGTCTATTATTGACATATAATCTCATGACTAACCAAACATAGGATACACATCATTTCCAACCAAATAGTCTAGGAACTATGTATCCTAGTATTAACAATCTGATAGATTAGAATCCTCTCTTACTCAATCTGTCCAAACAAATATAGCCTAAGGGAAGATAGAAGGAAGTAGATGATCTTTATTCCTCAGATTGTGCAACAATGAGATGTAGTAAATACTTTATTAATGCTTGAACCTTTTTTTCTTTTCTTTTTTTTGGTTATTAAAGGAGGCCTAAGCCCAGCAAACAAAACTACAAAACAAATCGATCCAAGGAACCAACCCCTTGTAAATCATTTTCAAATAAAGAAGCTACTAAATTAGGTGGCACCCGCAGTATAACATCAATAGCACGCTGACTTCTAGCTAACTTGGCCAAGCAATCCGCACAACCATTTACATCACTCCAAATAACCTGAAGATTACAACACCAATCTTTAGCTAGAAGAGCTTGAACTTCTTTTTTATTCTGAAAAAAAAAAAAAAACCAAGCAAACAAACAAACAAACAAACAAAAAAATGGGGTGTGTTTGCACCCGTTTTTGTAAAATGTTTGTCGATAGGTACAAAAATCAGATTGTTACATGTGGTAACAAAGTCATAGTTGGGGTGCATATTAATCATAGGATTATGTGGCAAGGAAATAGTAGTCACGTGTGCAATACAACAAGAGCATGTCATGGGCTAAGGTTGTGGACCAGTTGCAAGCTTTATTAGAGATCATGGGCTAATTTCTAGAAGATGTTGATGTTAATAGGAATTTCCTCAGTCGATCATGCTCATTAGTTGAAGGAAAATTGGGTGATGATGTGGCTAGAGGTTTAAAAGTAAAGTTCGGACAAAGATAAAAAGTTTAAAGAAGCAAAGGAGGTTGCAAGTAGTTATGGGTTTTAGTAAAATGGTCTCCTCTGTCGAAGGTAGTGCTAGAGATCATGGGAGACATGTGGCAAGTTTATGTGAAGTGCTAGAGAAAGATGAAAAAGCAATTGCAGCAGGGAAAGATTGGCCAGCAAATTTCAAGGAAGGTGGGATCATGTGCTAGAGTTTCAAGTGAAAGTATAGAAGCTTAAAATTTGCAGAGACAAGGGGCAATCAACAAGTTAACAACACATGGCTTTTAGACTTAGGAGTAGTTTATTGTAACTTAGAAATAGTTTCTTCTATAATTTGTAGTTTGTAATTGGGTGAACACCAGTTGTTTCATTTTGAAATTACTTTGTGTTTGCTTTGTTTACTTTTTAACTTTCAGTTGTTCCAAAGAAGTCCTCATCCTTTTGAGGCATTTGAACCAATTTCACAATTTGTTGGTTGTTCTTGTTTGATTGTTTAGTTGAAATTGTTGTTTAATTCCTGTTGATTGGAAGTAAGCATAATTTATACTAATAATTTTTGGCACGCTCAGTGGGACATCTTCCTAATTTGAAATGATGACAAGAATTCGAAGGCAAGATGAAGTACAAGAAGACCTAAAATATGGCATGAAAAAATCTCGTAAAACACAGTCACATGATGTTCCAATAAGTGGATTTCCATAGAATGACATGTCGAGACAAATAGATGAAATGATTTTGTTTTGTGAGATGAAATTCGTTGGCATGAGAATGAAATTTTATATTTACAAGAAGAGATTGATTATCTTGATTGGCAAGAATTTCAAATAATAGCGCCATTGCCATATTATTTGGGGTTAAAAACACGAAATCATTTTGATAGAGTGATTGGGAAACTTGATGATCAAATTGACCATTTTAAGATCGAAATTCATCAATGGATGGAAACATTGAAAATTCTTACGGAAACCAAAATTTGTGGCTTTTCAGTTGTTCTTCTTATGCCTTTAAAGGTTATGAATGATGAAAAAGTTAATTCATCAGTTGTTATGAGTGAAAAAACAAAAGGCCATGAGAATAAAAATTCCATGGCAGGGGGACAATTTCACAACGAAGAAATATTTTCTAGGTTGTCAAACAATATTTCTAACCCATTGATGTGTAAAAGGAAAAATCAGTCATTTTTCTCAAATCTTAGTCTAAAGAGTGATGCAAACAGTGTAGTTAAAAAGTTTGATTTCAAGCCAACTACGTAAAAATGATGAACATCAATTCATGATGATTTTAATATTTTTGACATTGTTCAAAATGTTGAATTTTTCAAAAACATTGAGCCATGCAAAATTATGAATTATGGCATTCAACACCCATTTTAGGTTTGTGGATCACACCAAAGCTTAATGTTGGTGAATTGGCTAATGATCCAACGTTATTTGAATAATATTCAGTTGGTGGAAGGTGGTTCTAATTAACCACTTGAAGATCACATACTTAAAATATTGCCAATTTGCTCTGTCGAAATAATATATCTCACTTGGATTGAGTGTTACTGTAATTTTTCCAATTAAATGGCATATAATCATTAATACCAGTGACATCAATTTATCGACAATACTATTTTGGCATATATGGTGTTTAATCACTAGATTTTTGGCCATAGGCATATATTTCAGATATGTTTGTTTGTTGAAAAGGCTGCTGTCGATTTAATTTTGATTTTATAACTCTTCAAGAATTCGATAAAGTCTCATTCTTAAAGAGTTAGTGGGGCATTGTTTGCACCCATATTTGTAAAATGTCCGTCGACAGGTGCAGAAATCAGATTGTGACATGTGGCAACAAAGTCATAGTTGGGGTGCATATTAATCAAAGGATTATGTGGCAAGGAAATGGTAGGCACATATGCAATACAGCAAGAGCATGTCGTGGGCTAAGGTTGTGAAGCAGTTGCAAGCTTTATTGGAGATCATGGGCTAATTTCTAGGATATGTTGATGTTAATAAAAATTTCCTCTCAATCATGCTCATTAGTTGAAGGGAAATTGAGTGATGATGTGGCTAGAGGTTTAAAAGTAAAGTTGGGACAAAGATAAAAAAGTTTAAAGAAGCAAAAAGGTTGCAAGTAGTTACGGGCTTTAGTAAAATGGTCTCCTCCGTCGAAGGTAGTGCTAGAGATCATGGTGGACATGTGACAAGTCTATGTGAAGTGCTGGAGAAAGATGAAGAAGCAGTTGTAACAGTTCAGGAAAGATTGGCCAACAAATTTCAAAGAAAGTGGGATCATGTGCTAGAGTTTCAAGTGAAAGTATAAAAGGTGAAAGTTTGCAAAGAGAAGGGGCAATCAACAAGTTAACAACACATAACTTTTAGACTTCGGAGTAGTTTATTGTAACTTAGAAGCAATTTTTTCTGTAATTTACAGTTTGTAACTGAATGAATTTCAGTAGTTTCATTCTGAAGTTATTTTGTGTTTACTTGTTACTTTCAATTGTTCCAAATAAGTCATCGTTCTTTTGAGGCATTTGAATCAATTCCACAATTACTTGGTTGTTCTTGTTTGATTATTTAGTTAAAATTGTTGTTTAATTTCTGTCAATTGGCAGTAAGTATAATTTTTACTAACTGGGGCTAAAAGTTTTTACACTCTAATTAAAGCATGAAGCAGACAAACAACCATTACCTATTACTTTCTTCTGCAATCTTCTCCAATGTACTTATAAGTCAGTTTCAAAAACTAGTGGGCGGCTTTCCTCTGCAAAAAAAGATTACTCCTAATTAATAACAGATCATGTTCCTTATTATATTCCTCCAGAGTAACGTGTAACACAAAATGTAATAAAAATAAATAAAATATTTTCTTATATTTAATTGTTACTTTAACATTAATATTGTATTGTATTTTAGTGATTGTATTTAGTAGTGCTGGTGGTGGGACAGCGGAGGCGATAAGGTGGTGATCTTGGTGGTATGTCATATGGTAAGATTTTAATTCAGAAAATATTTTTTATCTTTTAAAAATAAAAAATATTTTCGACTCATTTTTCATTTATCATAGAAAATATTTTCATTATTTTATTTTTCATCGTACCAAACTTCAAAAAATATGAAAATAATTTTTTTAAAAAAATATTTTCTTCCAAAACAAATATTGGAATCCAAATTAAGTATCAAAAACAAGACGATAGTGAAGAAGCAAACCATTGTCCCAAAAAAAATGATAGGTTAAAAGGGGTCTGAAAATTTTGATCATTAATCAGAATAAAAAGTCAAAAATTTAAAAATATAGAAAATAATGTCAAATCTACTTTACAAATATTCCTGTTAAAAACACAGCTTGTAATTTTATTTATTTATTTATTTATTTTTTAACATGCTAGATTTTTAAACCAAAAAAAAAAGAAAAGAAAAGGAAATGATAAAAGAGTTGAAAGAGTTGGCTACTGACTATTTTCATTGATAATGCTTATGTCTCTGATCCTCTTTGGAAGTTTAATGACACCTTCGAAACGGAAATTTGAGATTCTCAACTTGTTGAGTTGTGGCATCACCTCCTTCTCCAATATTAACTCCACTAAAAAAGGCAAGTCAAAAACTTCAAGCACTTGAAGTTGAGGAAAGTTATCATCAATTCCTCTTCTCCCGGAGCAAACCATCTTCTGCCCAATGTAGGAATTTGAATCCAATTTGAGAATCTTTAATTTTGGTAGTTTCTTCAGAGTCTTCATTGGGTTCTCTTTCAAGAAAGTGAACTTGAGAGTAAGTTTTGTGAGGTTTGGAGGAAAAAGGCTAACATGATGTTGTAACTCCGGTAATGCTCTCAAATACAACCTAGAAAGATTCTCAAAGCGAAATAGATTCAAATCTTGGATATTAAATGAATGTAATTCTCCTACTTCAAGTCTAGACTGCAATCGCAAGGTATCTAGCTTGTGTGATGCGGTGATTGCATCTAGCAACACCTTGACGTTTGACAAGTCACAGCCCTCGAATGAGACTCCCAATTTTCTCAAACTGGTAAATTTTGGCACCCGGTGCTTGATGGGCCTACGTTGAAGCTTTAGACCATAGAGGGTTTGGAGATTTAGAGAAGAAGCTTCGACTGGATGTAGAAACTTAACCTTGTCAAGCAAAAAACCCCTTAAATCAGATTTAATTTCATAATGCAAAGGTAGAAAAATATGTTTTAAATGCTTCATCTTCCATATAAAATCTGGAATGGTAAATTTACCACCACATCTTCGAAAATCCAATGTCAGCAAACTTTTGATATTGATGATAGAGGAAGGAAGTTTGATAGTACAACCACTTGCCCCAATCAGACGTATGTAACTCAAGTGGCCCAAATTGCCAATTTCACTTGGCAAAGAAATTTTGAGGCCTCTGCACTCCAGACGTCCACACTGTAGATGTACCACGCGAAGATATCTCAAGTCTCCAACAACATTCTTAAAATGTTTCTTTTCCAATTCCTTCCAGTCTTCTTCTCTGAAACATAGCAATGCACGAAGTTTAGGAATTCTACTGAAATTAGTGTAATCACGGAGACTATTGTGATAGGTTGTAACTCTACGAACTTTCAAAGCAGAATTAGCAGAACCAACTTCATTGCAAGTGTGAAAGAGGTTACTCTCCTTGGCCTTCTCCACGCAAAGAGCGTGCAGAATATCATGAATGCGTACGCTTTTAACTCTCCCATCCAGTTCACTACTTTGAGCCACTTGAATCATGTTCCTAGCAATCAAGTGATTTAAGTAATCATCGCCTACATCATCAACCTCCCGCACTCCACCACCTTGAATAAATCCCTCTGCCTCACATAAATTAATTATGTCAAAAGCCATAATTTCACAATCCTCAGGAAAAAGACCAAAATAGAGGAAGCATAGTTTTAATTTTTGGGGTAAATCTTTGTAGCTCAGAGCAAAGATCTTTAAACATTCATCTTCCTCTTGACCCATGTTCTCTAACACCGCCTTCCATGCATGTGTCTTTCTTTCTTTTTTTCTCAACAAACCTGCTACTAATACAATTGCAAGTGGCACGCCACTGCATCTTTTCAATATTTTCTCCGCAATGTTCTCCAGTTGTTCTAGAGGGTCACTTGCTTCTTCTTCAGGATTATGTGGAGGCCCCCCAACAATTTTGAAAAACAGGTTTCTACTATTATTTAAGTCCAAGGGTTGTAACTCATGTAAAGAGCTTCGCCCACCAACATGTACACCTACATCTCTGTGTCGAGAAGTAAGGATTATTTTACTACCATTTTCAAAATTGTTAGGGATGCCAATCTTTAAGTAATCCCATGGTTGGGTTTCCCAGATATCATCAATGACTATTACGTACCTTTTGTAGTACAAAAATGCAAACAAATTGGCCTCGATGTCATTCTCCCGTTTCGCTTTCCCTAAGCCCACTTGTCTTGCTATGTCACGCAGAAGTTGATCCATGTTTGGCTGTTGAGAAACACAAATCCAAGCTGAACACTCAAAACTTCGTAGAACAGAGTTATAAACTTTCTTAGCAAGTGTTGTCTTGCCCAAACCAGCCATCCCAGTAATTGAGATGACACTAGACCGTGAATTCTTATCTAGCAATTTGCCCACCAAACTATTAATGTGTTCTTCAAAACCAACAACATTTGGTTCATCATAATGAGGGAAAGATCGTCTTCTACTATAACACGTCTCTCCTTCGTCGGTGACATTCTTTTCTTGAATCCCATACACTAGTCTGCGAGATTTAATGTCTTCGACCCTTCTTTTGATCGTTTCAATCTCTGCAACAAACTTATGAGTAGTGGAAATGGAGCCAAAGATACCAAAGAAGCCCTTCCTCTTGGATGATACAATCTTAGGGAAATATTTGTCCAAAATGTCCTCCACTTCCAAACCAAGGTCCCTTATATCAAGCAAGAAGGCAGCCACTCTTTTGTCACCTTGCTTGGCATCAGCATCTTCCAAAAAGGATTGAATATATGTCATCTCTTGCTGGATCCAATCCACATGCTCTCTTACATGGTGAGGAACTGCTTGGATGATCAGATTACTGCCTATTTCAATTGCTTTTCGAACAACTGCCGGAATAATGAATTCTGCCATCTTTGACTGATTTTCCAATCACAACTCACCACAAGATGAGCAAGAACAAGAAGGAAATGACAACAGTGAAGAAAACAAACCTTCAATTGGCTAAAGCACTATATCGATAAGACTGGATTTTGTGTTGAGAGTTGCTGGCCAAAAAAAACAAATCTGAGAAAAATCAACCCATACAAAGACTTCAATAAAGACTTCGATTAACTTAGACCAAAAAAATAGGATGTGCATTTGAACATATGTATTGAAAATAGTGACATTAGTATTATTATATATCAATCTGATTGAATTTTTTTTTTTTTTTTCGATAGGGGAGACAAGCTAACCAGATTCAGCCGGAAGACCATCTGAAAAAAACAAGAGCTTGAATCAAAGATGGAACCTCTTCCATCCAAACACGAACTTCCTCAAACCGAACCACCATTCGAGCCAAACAATGAGCGACAAATTTGTGGTAGGTCAGTTAATTTCACACTAATCCTAACTTATTTATTTAATTTTTAAAAACAATGAGCGACAAATTGGTGGTAGGTCAGTTAGTTCCACACTAATTTATTTATTTATCTTTTAAGCAGGGTTAAAAATGATTTCTCCATATGAAAAAGTAATGATTCCAAACAGGATCAAAAACAAAAAAAGGTAAATTACACTCACCATATTGAAATTTAAAAAAAAAAATTAAAAAAATTAAAAACTATAATTAGTCATATACTTTTGACATAATTACACTAATATAACACTCCAACTTTTATTACTCGAATTTGCTTCCAAATCCTTTATATTATTACCAGTTCCAATGATATCATACACGTGCCACATAAACAAACAAATACATAGTGGCATTCTCTCTTCGAAGTAATGATGTTACATAAACAAATTCTTATAGAATGCCCTTAGTCTTATATGAATAACAATCAATGAAAGGGAATCTACCTTTATACAATACATGTCATTTAGCCAACAAATAAAAGGCCATGTGGCCAACAGATAAATAAAAGACTTCAAATTCGAGCAATCCCTCCAGCCATGTACCTAAAAAGTTTGTCAACACGTAGGATGAATACAAAGCCTAGTAGAGATCTCAATATAATCCTAAACAATAATGACATGCAAATATCTATGATCATGACTGCATCAAGACATAAGATATAGATAATGTGACAATTTGATAATCAGAATATACTTATTGTGGTGAAGTGGTTTGGCAATACCCTTTATGATCCAAGCAGATGCTCTTGATCCTCTAGTTGATACCTAAAATAGGAATGAATGCTCCGGTCGAGGGGTTGCCGGAATTAGCACTCCGACGAGCAAGTTAGTATTCTTTACAATCTTTCTTCTATTACAAGTTATCGTTCTCTTTTTTTACATACCTCTCTTTTGGCTGATGTTCCTCTTTATATTACGCCAGGGCCCAAGTTCGGGCCCCCTCTTGACCTTACACATAATTATCTAGTCGCCCTTCCAGCTGAGTGTATTGGCTCCCACTCGGCTCTTTATATGGCCGATTCATATACGCGGCTTTATGGGCCTCCGAGTAGGGCTGATTTGTCTTCTGCCCAATATCACATCCGGCCTACTCGACCTTTCTACCTCATTGATTAAATTCAGCCTCCACACTTATATAAGTACAGTTTCTTCCAAAAACATTTAACACCACAAGGTGTAAAACCATTTGTTCCCTTTCCAATTATTCCATTTAGTTCCAAAAACATTTTTTTCACAACACAATCTTTACCCATTAAACATCCACGCTAATATAAAAGAATTTCACTCATATACATACCATAGCACTCATAACACAACCCACTACACTCGCTTATAACATAACACATCCAATACTCCCCCTGGCCATAGGCCCAAGGGCAAGAAACACCTATAATAGGATATTGATGTACAAATATTTCTAAACAAAAATAATTGAACATAATACATACTCTCATTTCCATTTCCACCGGCATACAGCATAGATGACAAAAGATACAAATCCACATAATGCTTTACCGGCCTCACCTGAAGGGGAACAACCCCAAGGCCACACTTTACCGAGTACAAACCGAAAGGAAGAGGAACCTATCACAATGCGCCATGCTTTTCTGACCCCACTCAGAGAGAAACGGACCTCCATTCACACTTTACCGGCCTCACCTGGTGTGACACGGACCCCCTAAACAATATCACAATAATAGCACAACATGCTAAACTACGTAAATACCGTACAAGTGCAATACATACACATAACCTATTCAACAACAACAATGTCATCCTCCACCAATGACCAAGGACACCTCTAAACAGATAAATACATATACACCTCTTACAATATAAATCCCTTGCTAATTCCACCTTTTCAAAATAATCATTTTTCATTTCGTTTCACAAAAGAGTTACCCTCGTCATTTTATTTCCAAAATCTAAACCATTATATCAAATTCTCAACATCTCCAACCCATAGCCAAAACCATTTTCAAACCCAATTCCTAAAACACAACTACAACCCAACTTAACACAAAATTAATCAAAATAACTACTAACCCAATAAGTTCTCATTTTAACAACTAAACCACTAGCCCAATTCTTTAACACATAACTTGGTTATTCCACATCTTTACCTCTTTATGATTAATTATGCCTACAATGATAAATTAGGGTTTCCTCCCCACTCTCAACATAACACGTTTAGATATCTCCCAAATCACCTAAAATGACTGAAAAACATGCAACTCAACTTCCGAAATTCAAACTTCTAAACCCCTTTATATACTTTGTGGAAAATCTCCCAACAACATGCTTTTAAACATAATAAAAACTACCACACACACACACACACACACATATATATATAACAAAGTATTGAAAAGGAGCAAAGAAATCCCTACCTCTTAAAGCGAAGAAGAGACAATCCAAAAATCCCCAATGACGAACGATGATCCGCTCAGATTAAATGGAAGCCCTTGTCGAGCTCTACATTTTGGTCCACGGGACTTAGCGTAGGAAATGGGTAAAAGTAGATGAAAACCAAACTTGAAAACCTGAAAATACCAAAAATGGTGGAAAGGAAGAGAGAAGAGAAGATGAACTCAAAAATGAGATATTTTCAAATTTTGGGGCCTTATATAGAAAAAAAAAAAAAAAACCACAGGCGTAAACAGATAGACCACGGGCATGAACAAAAAGACAACACAGTCACGAGCGCGACCAAGCATGTCGCGAGCCACCACCACAGGCCACGCAATCTTTTGCAGGCCATGTACCCTCCCCTAGGCCAACAGACCTGAAGCCATCTAGGTCGCAGCCCGGTTGAAGCCCATTGTGGGCACAACCTCTACCCTTCAACCATTGGAACCATAAACAAGGTGGTCGCAGGTGCGACCTACTTGAGGTAGAATTCCTAGACTGCTGTTCAGAAGCCTGCCAGAACACACCGAAGGTCCAAACCACCTAAAGACAAACAGATACACTCGGACAACCCCGTGCCCCAACAGAAAAAATAAAATGGGTTGGGTTTTCTAACCCGAGCCTCTACTACTAATCTTTTTAAACTTTATTTAAATAACAATTAAATTATTTTTCATCAATAATTTGTTAGTCGTATGAGTAAAAAAATAATATTATCATCTCTTATTTACTAAAATATACATTTATCTTTGTTTATTTACTAAAATATATATTTATCTACTTTAGTTTCAGTCGATTTAGCTTTATTAAAAGAAATGTCAATGTGTTTATGTCAAAAATGTGAGACTAATTGTATTTTTCTCAAAACTCAAGGGAGATAAGTATAATTTACCCAAAGCAAATTGGTTATCATGTGAAAAGGTTACATACGAACTCAAAATCTTTGTTTGAGACAAAAAAAAAACAACAACAACAACGGCAACAACAACAACAACAACAACAACAACAACTCCAGGATTTGACCCTTATAACAAAATAAATTCTAAATTTTCAACTTTGTCTATTTAAACACTAATTTTTTTTTTCAATCTAAATTATTTGCCTATTTTCATTGACTAAAAGTTGACAAAAAAAAATTATGTTTTAATCATTAAACTCAATTTAGATATACATAAAATGTCTAAAATATTCATTTTCATAGTTTAATGATTAAAATACCTATTTATTCGTCAATTTTACTTACTGGAAATAGGTAAATAGTTCAAATTGAAAACAAATCAAAAGTTCAATGTTTAAATTAATAAAATTAAAAATTCAAGGTTTATTTTGTTATTAGAGTCAAACCTTGAATTTTATTTTTTTTTTTGTAATTTTCCCTTTTTGTTTTTAGTTTTTTATTTCTCTCTCTTTCTTTTATATATGATTGGTTAAAATACCTCTTTCTTTTTTTTTTTTCTTTTTTTTTTTTGTTGTAGTATGATTGGTTATCAAAAAAAAAGAAAAAAAAAAGAAAAAAACATTTAACCATCCAATGATGTTTGGACGTGGTTTTAGTAAGATTGTTGGTAAGAGTTTAAGTAAATGTAACATTACTCCTTATATATACTTATTGTAACACCTCAACTTTTATTACCCGAATACATTCCCAAAGTCCTTGTTAAACTCCATTTTCACTATAATAAATGCGGAAGTAATAAATAAATAAATGAACAAATAAATATCAAACCTTGAATTTTATTTTTTTTTTTGTAATTTTCCCTTTTTGTTTTTAGTTTTTTATTTCTCTCTCTTTCTTTTATATATGATTGGTTAAAATGCCTCTTTCTTTTCTTTTCTTTTCTTTTTTTTTTTTTGTTGTAGTATGATTGGTTATCAAAAAAAAAAAGAAAAAAACATTTAACCATCTAATGATGTTTGGACATGGTTTTAGTAAGATTGTTGGTAAGAGTTTAAGTAAATGTAACATTAGTCCTTATATATACTTATTGTAACACCTCAACTTTTATTACCCGAATACATTCCCAAAGTCTTTGTTAAAGTCCATTTTCACTATAATAAATGCGGAAGTAATAAATAAATAAATGAACAAATAAATATTTTCTCGGATTTACACGATAATGAAATGTTTGATACAATGAATTTCAAATGCCCTTAGGCTTACAATTAAAATAAATAACCAAATACAAATACAAAAAAAAAAAGGTTTAATCATCTTTTACTAACACAACATTCCA